AACATCAGATTGAGAGTCCTGGGTTCCACCTCGGTTTGCGGCACTGAAAAGACCACTGGCAAACTCTGCTTGTTAGCCAAAGATTTGACTTGGTGAAAAAGGGTGTGAACATAGGGTATCACCACTGGTCTGGATGTCAGTTAACAGAGACAGCCAAACCTTAACAGTCATCAAAGGGAAACCCACCGAGGTAAGGCTGGAGACTTGTAAGCATACTGTTCTCGCATCTATGTCAACATGACTTTAACAATGAAGCTCGTTTGCATGACGCAGCAATCACGTGCTTCACCAGCTTAAAATCTGTCGAATCATGTAGCATTAGCCCCTTTTTAGAATGTGGTTCATAGGACCAACAGATGTGAGGGGGCTTATGAGCAAGCTTCAAGCCTAAATATTGCAAAACCTTACCTGTGGATGTCTCATACTTTGATTTTAACCCAAAGAAACACTCCTTGAAATTGCCCAATGAAAGTGACAAAGAGCGATTAGCTACAGATGTCTGTCCAGGCGAGAACCCAGCAACTGCCGCTGACCAGAGAGACCGAACAACATTTCACTGAAGTAAGACTAGAAAATCAGTTAATCCTCCAGATTGATCTTGACATCTCATGCAGGGGTGGACGCAGGTATTTTCGAAGGGGGGGGGGGGCGTGTGGGGTCAGCGTATCATATAAGTACCCCCCCCCCCCCCCCCCTTTCCCGACCCTGAACTTTTACACATGCAGAATTCAACAGGGGAGTCAGGACATCCGGACCTCCCCTCTGAATCCACCACTTTCATGTGCTGTGAATTGGAAGGGTCACAACGGAAATGGCAAGCAGCCATTATGAACACTTGCGGATGCAGTTCGGATGCGGATTAATCAAACTGTTATCCACGCAGGGCTCTAGTTATAAGTGGATTGCAATGTAGATGGTGTCAGTGTGTCCTCTCGTTGTAAGAGATTTTAAGAGGTTCCAAGGCACTCTGTCTTAAAATTCGCAAGTGTGAGAACGGGCCTTTATGCCCCGTACTCGAACAAGAATAGCCAAAAAACATGAAATACGTGCTACGATAAGCGCTGAATATGTTGGTTGACTGGAACTTTTCCCCGCCAAAATGGTGACAGCGGGAAACAAGAACAAGGAAGGGGGCGTATGCATGCGCAGAAGCTTACTGGAAAAAGGTCCATTGCTGGGGTCTCTGAAGAGAAAACCCAACAGGAAGCCAGGACCCATTTGCTTGAAGCTAATTAACTTTAACCATGGTAAAAAGTTTCCCTGCTAGGTATTTACAAGTACCTAGCCAAGTTTGGCGAGGGCAGAATGAGTGATCTCCATATTTTATTATGGGGGGTAGCTGGTGCTACCTACTGGTTGTAGCGAACGTAAGTGGCTTTCAAGGAAAAGTACCCGAAAAGGAGGGACCCAAGAATGTGCGCTACCGGGTTTTCGCGACGCAGTGCGGCAAACAGCTTAAGAAACAGTTTTTGTTGTGTGTGGTACAGATATTGGATAAGGTAAAACCAAATTAACCGTTGTTTGGAAAATTTCTAAATGTTTCGCAGTCTGAAGTGAAACAAGCCTCGTTGAAATTTCGTTCCAAGTTCGAAAAAGGACGATGAACTTCAGTCCTAGAAGATCAGCAAGTGAACACCGAAAGGCGGGTGGTACACCGGCAGCATGGTTGGTCAGCATGTAAACTGTATATAAAACCCATCATAAATTGAAAACCATGTAATTTGGTCTCAGTGAATATAGACCTATTACTAAATTACCCAAGCATCAAGAGAATGCTGAAAGTGTAATTCCACGCTTCGCACGCGCTGGCCTTTCTCATAATAAAGATTCAAAGTAAATTATCATAATAAGGCTTTGACGAACACACATGCAAGGCAAAATTTGTTTTAGGCTTTTGCTTTAGAACAGTTACTACTTCAGACGCCAGCACATGTAACTAAACTTTTAGCATGCACCCTGGTGCATGGGAAATTTAGCAAAAGGTCTATTGGGGCACTGTCTGCTTTTGCATGCTATCATTACCCAGCTGATTGAGTCAAGGCAATCCACTATAGTATTCCAAAGACATTGCCATGCCTACAATTACCGTATTCATTTAGGCTTAGGAATGTCGAAAGCAAAAGTGGCAGCCTCCTGCACCATTCACTGCCGACTAACGCGCCTGAGATTGCAGCTACTATGATGTATTAGTTCCACACCGAGCGACGCTCCCTCGCAGGGCCACCGCCATTTCTCCCCGCCGTACCAGTCACGTGACATAAAATTCCTCCTCGTAGGGAAATGTGGTTAACTTTTGACCGGGATTAAAGTTAGAAGGGCAGTTCAACAATTTTTGTACTTTGTATGAATACCGCTCAAAATAAATCCCCGACGTTTATGACCAATAAAACATGCGTTCGTTTTTCTCCCCATGCAATAAACATTACAAAAACAAAAATTATCGAAAAACGAGCAGCGTTGACTCTCTGAACTCGCAGCCACAAGATCTGGAGCCGATAAAGTGCCACCTATGTTGATCATAGCCACGCGCTGAGGTTGGCAAAGCACAGGACACGTGCTAAGTTCCAGATATTGTTAGGCTTCGGCTATTGTCGTCATTGTTGTGATTAGAGACGGGTCACTACCCGTTAACACGCAGGTTCAGGTGAGTTGATCGGTCATTATGTACAGGGGGAACAGCACACCCGCGAAACAGTCACTCAAGTCCACACACACAAAAAAAAAAAACAATTACTCAGTGCTGACTAACAACTCTGGTATATTTACTTTTTTTTTGTCTTCTTTTTGTATTATGAACTAGAGCCATGGAAAATAATTGGTCTTATTTGCTTCAATGGGAAGCTAAACTGTAAACTAACTCAAATTGAAATTAATGTAAGGCTACGTAGTCTAATTTTTTATGAGAAGGATAAAGACGGAGTACTAGAACCTCTCTCATTATGTTTTGCGGCATTCTCTGCCTCAATAATTTCTCAACTTAAATTAAAATTAATGTAAGGCTAGGTAGTCTAATCCTTTTTGTGATAAGGTTAAAGACTGAGTACTAACACGTCTATCGTTACGTTTTGCTGTATTCTCTGCCTCAATTTCTCAATGAGAGAAACCATTGAGGCAGAGAATATCGCAAAACATAACGATAGATGTGTTAGTACACCATCCTTAACCCTATCACAAAAAGAATTCCCTGTCTGCACTAACCGTGTACAACAGCAAAAGTGGTAGAACATACATTTTAGCCAAGAGTATGGGATGTTGAACGCTATGCAGGCTACTGCTAAAATGAGAGATTGTTTTTGTTATCTCAAATGTGAAGACATGTTGATATTTTTTATAGAAATGAGCTTGCAGTCAGTCAGTTTAATAAGACAGGCTAAAAAAGGGGGATCGGTGGACTAGCACACACCAGCTCGGAGCACGTGGAGCGAAAGCTCGCGCTGCAGAACCCAGGAATCCTGGGCTCAATTGCCACCCCTGCACGCTTCTAACTGAATGAGTATCGTACCGGCATGCGGTCGAATATCACTACTGCATGATGCACGTTAAAGACCCCAGGCTAGCGGTTGTACTGCACTGGCTAAATTGATCATTTACAGCAAATGACTCGTCGCATCAATTATCAAGACAAGCTAAAACTGCTGTGTGGCAGAAGCTTTTGCTGTATGTGCCCCGAGCTGCAATACGGTAGGAGGAAAGCCTTGGTAGGTAGGAAAGATTGCATGTTTTATCTTTACTGAAAAATATACTGGTTGAAGTTTCCAGTTAATTAATGACAGTCAAAATGGGGAGTTTGTTGGCTGTACCATACGGTTGTGCAGGAAAATATATTGTTTGTTGAGATGTTAATGGTCGTTAAAGACCCTAGGCTAGCAGGGGTACTGCACTGGCTACATTTCTCACCTACAGCTAAGACACCTGATGCCCACTGAGGCTGACTAACTTCTGGCTGCCTAAAGACACACACACAACATAATTGTTTTAGGGCTACAAAGTGATGTGACTAGGAAACTGTGTACAGATTGCATAACATGCCACATGAGAAATTTAGTGCAACTAAATTCTGGTGAAGGGGATCCCATACCTGCCAACCTGTGGACTTTCAAATTTGTAAAAGTTCCGCAGCCGCGGCGGGGGGGGGGGGGGGGGGGGGGTGACGCGAAGCAATGTGCAGCTTAATGTCAGCCTGGCCAGCGTGCGAAACGCTCACATCACATGTGCACGTGCTACAGAATCCAAACTTCTCTCGCTTTTTGGGTGGCATGAAGCACGGAAATTTCGAGGTGTAGGACTTCATGAAAACCTGAAAGTACCTCTTTTGAGGTTTGGAGTTTGGCATTGCGCCGCAAAGCCACAATGACCAAGAGAATGCTACAGTTACACGTGCAACAAACACAGACGCCGTACTTCTCGCCTCGAAACTGGCCGAAGCAACGAGGCCCAACAACGTCTGAGCACGCCGAACCAACGTACACCCGTGCACCGCCGAACACAAGGCTTTGAGCTTTGGATTGGTTTTCGATCCGTGGCCACCGGATAGACAAATAGTTAGAACCACGACGCTGCTGTGGACGGTACCTATCGTCCTCTTGTGGCGGTGCAAGATACCGCCAACAACGGAGTTACAAAAACAACAACAACAACAACAACAAAAAAAGGTTTTTGTAAGGTTTGAAGCAAGATTCGTAAAATTACTCCCAATTCATACATTTTACGAAAAATTAGGAAGAATTGGCAGGTATGGGATCCAGCCAGGAATAGGAGGGGCAAACCAACCGGGAGCGAGCAGCTAGTGGCAAGGGTTGAACAACGGAGTCTGGCGTGCCCCGTGCAAGTCAACTCGGACGATAATCCAGATGAGTGTTTCAGCGACAACCAGACAAACTGTAATGACCCGAGGCCCTTGCGGGAATTCTTGGCGGCGACCCAGGGCACCTGCAGACGAGAAGCTGGAATGATAATTCACCGGCAGGAGCAACCCTTGGCAGCGACTTGAAGGAACCCACCCAACTATCTTTAATTCTGGCAGGTGCTTGAGGCATTGCCATTTTAATATTGGTCAGTGCCCGCAAGAGGCTGAATCCAGGTGCCACTGTTAGAGCAGCTGGATTCGACGACCAAGCAGGTGAACAGCTGGTTTGCCAGAGCTTCAGGACGGTGACAAGACCAGTGACGAGAACCGGAAAATCAAGCCCACACAAACTGAGTATGATAAAAGTTTATTTGCACATTTGTATATATTTTTACCGTTTTCTAAATATACTTTCTTTGATCCTATAACGGTCCAGCCAACTCGTTTCTCATTTGATATGGTGACAGGAGGGTCATTGTTCGTGTTGAAAGACTGCTTCATGCCTGTGAAGGCCTAGGCAAGTTGAAATAATCAAACGAGGTTCCACTGTTTCAGGAGGTATGCAGTCAACCCGCATTATTCTAGAAACAAATTTGAAGTTGCAAATTTTGTGATACTTCACAAGAGCATGCCAAAGCTTTGATAAGTGTCCCTAAAGTGCGACTATCTTATATTTCGCATATAACCGTGTGAAGGTCCTTCGCAAGCGAACCTGTGCGACTCCGCGGTACAGATTCGGCGTTGCAGTCTCCCGCGGTGCGGAACCCTTCCGAATGTCTCGGAGTTGAGCGAAGGTGGCTGCTATCGTAGCCAGTTTCTCGGATTTGCGCTTCTCGCGGTCGTGCACCAGTCTAAACAACTGTTTGTGTGGGGCTGGTTCAGCTGGTCTGGCACTGTACGTACCTTTCGAACACGACATTTCACGTTATAAATGCAAACAACTTTTCTCCAGCTAGGCTTAACGGCTTCCCTAGCTCGGCGTACAATACAAACAGTATCGCCTCCATCAAACTGACACTGCCATTCTTGAGTGCGGCGTGTATCAAAGCGCGGAGATGCTCGAGACTATAAACATACAATGACATAAACTAGAAACCACAAACCTTTGGAAAAGAAGCCCGCGCGCACATCAGCGTAAACACGTCCGTCCACGTCGTCTGGGCGGCTGGGCCATCTGGGGACCTATGTTGGACCAGTGTTGCCAACCTATTTTTCGAAAATACCCCACGCCAGCGTCCAGAAAACCCTACATTACCCTACGAATGTTTCGTATTACCCTACGTTTTACCCGGGTCCATATCACAAGAGCGAATGACATTTTAGCGAACGGCGACATTTGAGCGAATGGTCGTTTTAGCGAATAACGGGGGCGCGCGTTAACCCATCCGTCGCGCTGCGCTTTACGCCGCTTCGCGGCGACAGTCTGCGGCAACTCATTACAAAAATGTGAACCCATTTGGCCCACCCGAAAACGCCGCTTCGCGGCGTCCGACTATTCGCTAAAGTGTCATTCGATGAAACGTGGGCATTCGCTAAAACGTCATTCGATCAAGTGAGTGCCTCCCGTTTTACCCTACGAGGCAAATCTTTGTTCAAATAATACTGTTGCATGGATTATGATGCTACAGGGCAATATTAATACAGTACAAAGCGACAGGGCACGCATGCACGCGCATACCTGCGTTATTCTAGAACACCATGCTTGCATGTGCGCTGTGTAGCATCAGCACAACAGTGATGTAGCGAGCGCACAGACATCCCCAACCAACAGTCGATTTGTCATGAAATTAAAAACTGGGCTACGTGGAACCAACACTCGCGGCGTCAGACAAGGTGGCTCATTACAAAAGGAAGCTAATCCGAATGGTATATTAGCTTCTTTGGTTGTACCGCCTAGGGATTCGTGAAACTAAGGTACTATTTCGACCAACTAGGCTTTTACACGAGGGGAGGATAGGAAACCGGCGGCTCCTCCGTATTCGCTAAATTGTCATTCGATGAAACGTCATTGTTTCGGCTTCGTTCGTTAAAACGTCGTTCGCTCAAGTGAACGCCTCCCGGGATGCACTCACTTGATCAAATGACGCTTTAGTGAACGCCCACGCTTCACCGAATGACACTTTAGCGAATAGTCGGACACCGCGAAGTGGCGCCTTTTCGGGTGGGCCAAATGGGTGCACATTTTTGTAATGAGCCGCCGCAGACTGTCGCGCGAAACGGCGTAAGCGCAGCGCGGCCCCCGCTATTCGCTACAACGTCGATTCGCTCAAATGTCGCTGTTCGCTAAAACATCATTCGCTCAAGCGGTATGGACCCGTCCTGGGTGGGCTCGGGATGGTTCCGCCCGCGGTGCCACGTGTTTCGCAGGTGTAACAAGGACTGCCGGATGGACCAGTCATCAGAAAAAAAATTGGCGGGACCATTTCCACTGGGAAGATACCTCTTTTGGCTCCAAACTTCCTAGGCGCAACTCCACCTCCTCCCACCTGTCCCACTTGCTCCAGCTCCCCAATACTCTCCAACTTAGGGAGCCTACATACTCCAACTTGGTGTGTGGTGCTCTCAGTTAGCACGTCTTGCAACTTGGATTCTTTCGTTTTGCATGATGTTGTGGTGTGGCAGTACACGGGTTGTAAAGCTGTGCAAAACTTGCGCGGCAGCTTTTTTTCTTTTTTTTTTTTTTTTTTGTTATGCTCGCCGTTGAAGAAGCAACGTCTGAAAATACCCTACTTTTAACGGGGAAATGGCCGGACGGCCCTACAGCCCTACAATACACCATGAATGCCTAAAATACCCTACAAGTAGGGTAATTACCCCACGGTTGGCAACACTGTGTTGGACTTTCGAGAAACTAGAAACAGAAGTGACGTAGTGGCAGGTGACGCGTAACCAAGCAACGGCGCACACCGCGAAACCGTCCTCTGTGACGCCGTGACGACATGGCATGATTGGCGTCTGTCACTCACTTGAGAGGCGTCAAGAGCCAACCGCCGAAGAGCGGAAGTAGCTACGCTGTCCCCCTGCCGTACCTACGCTTTCCCGGTGGTACCTAGTCCCTACGCAAGCGTCCGTTTCTCCGGCAACCGGAAAGGCATTTTCTGCTTTTAGTCAAGCGATGGCAGCCAATCCCTTGCGGCGGTGACCTTCACATCGGCTCTTTTTTAAAGAAACTTGTCAAACTAAAAAAATACACGTGTTTTATTGAAATAAACAACTGATTTTGTAGCGGTTCTAGAAAATATTAGATGCAATAAACTCGCATAAAAGGTTAGAACAACATGCGGGACGCGGATGAGCGCCTAGTTCAAATTACTGGCGCTCATGACTGCTCATGAAACGGGAGGATGTGGCCTCTCTGGTACGCGGCGCAACTGAGCTGAGCCCGGCGCTGTCCAGAGACGACAAAGTTCGTCTTTGGAACGAGCTAACCTCCCGGCTCAACTTCCTCGGGCCTCCAAGGAAGGAGCCGGAAGGTTGGAAACGCTACTTGGCCATGCGGGTGTCTAAGGCGCGGGCGCGGTCTACGGAGCTGGCGAAACAGGCGAGGTAATTTGCGTAGTGTACTCATAGTGTGGACCAAGCTATTGAATTACTTCCTTTACCCGCAGGCAAACAGGGGGCGGAGGCGCCCGGGTGCGCTCACTGGCGTCATCATACTCACGTATTTTGACGCTGGTGGGCGAGAACTCGGCCCTGGGCGCTCCCGGGTTTTCTTTATTTGAAACCTAGAGGCCTGCACTCTAGCCACAACTTGGCACCCGCCTGAAACTGGCCTCCGGGTTTGCCATTTTTCTTATATCGTAATAAAGTGGAGATTTGGGCCAGTTCGTTCATTGCAAACAGAAAAAGCGACGAAAAAAACACAGGGACGCGGCCGAAGGGAAACAGGACAAGGTGCACTCTCAACTTAAGTTGAATTTCCAATAAACTTCAGTTGAAAGTGCGTCTTGTCCTGTTTCCTTCGTCTGTGTCCCTGTGTTGTTTGTTTGTTTTCTTATATCATTGTTGATCTCAACATGCCTCTACTATAGAATCTGTCATGCTTCCATGTGCGACAAAACACAAACGAAATGGCAGTGTGCTGAATTAAGTGAAGTGTGAAATAATGTCTGTGATATATCCTGGATAATGGCAGAGTTTATACACTGTTTACTAGTCCATGCTCAATTTCACTTTAAAGAAAGTATTGCAACCTGTGTTTTCAAACATGTTTATTTTTCACGTTACGGCATTGTTATAAAAAAAGAAAGCACTTTCAAAGACAAACTGCTTGTTGTCTCATTCAAACAGACACAAATCCAATATCCGATTATCGAGTAATACACTTGGCTCTGTGGTAGCCATAATAGATTGTAAAATGGAGCAGGGCAATGGAAGTGTAGAGAAAATGAATCAATGTCCAAACCCGATACAAACAATATATTGCAGTAAAAGAAGCAAAACAGGTCTCACCAGTAGCCTCATTGAGTTCTCCGTTTCCTACAAGGGCGAGCCAGATGCCCCGTTGGCTAGCTAAATAACCCTACAAAACCTTCTGTTATTGTCCCACGCATCTTATGCACCCTGCTTGAAAATTAAAAAAAGGCTCTATCAACATCACCGTGATGCACCGAATAGCTTTTCGGAGGCAGTTCTACATGTCCGTAAAGGTAACACGGTGGTTGTGCGATGAACTGCGCAAAGCGTTGGAGTTGACACTGTGGAGCTTATGGACGGCCATGACTGTGGAGCAACAACTGAAGCACATGCTGCCACAGGGGGGGGGGGGGGGCTTCTTTGGTGGCGAGGGTGTCAGTCGAGGTGAGGACGACGAGGGGTTCGCTGTCGTCAGTGGCGTCCCTGATGGGCGGGACCTCCGTTGTGGCGACGGACTCCTTAACGCTGGTGGTGTCCCTGGTGGGCGCAACTGCCATCATGGCTTCCGTGGGGCTCCAGGGAGGCACGGCCGTGGCGGGTTCCGAACTGGGCAACAAGGCGTTGCCTCAGAGCCCTGCCACTGTCCGAGAGGCTGACCCGAGGGTGGCCAGGAGCCAGCCTCTCGTCATCCGCGACTGACCCCTCCGAGCTTGGCCCAGACTCCAACCTTGGCTTGTCAGGGTCACAGTCTGGCTCCGATTCTGGCTCCCTCGATGAAAGGCAGATATTGTGGAGCACTGCACACGCCGATATAATGACGGTGGCTGTTGTTGGATGATA